TTTTCCAAGGGCTACTAAGAAGGTGAGTGTGAGAAAGCTGGTCCTGTCTCCCATTTGTTTAGATTTCAGTGATAACCTTTGATTGAGGCTCTGGCCTGACCACAGCACAAAGAATATGCCAGTTTAATTGTTGGTTGATCATGTGATGTGAAAATGCTGATGTTCATAATGGGTCTACAAGACCAATGGAAAGCTACAGCAAGTATAAAATGGAGTTTTTCTTCTAAGGGCTCATCTAGACGACACAGATCCGTCGAAAGAGGACGCACAAATTCCGTGGGAATTTGCATATCTTCTTCCAACCGCACTTTCAAAAGCAGAGCTTTTGAAAGTGAAAGTAGTTTAGACATGGCTTTTTTGGGTGAACCCTGCCCTCATTTTTTGAGGAAGAGTGGCTTTTCAACAAAGGGAGGGATTCTCTGAAAAAGTCATGTGTAAGCTACTTTCACTTTCGAAAGCTCCGCTTTTGAAAGTGTGATCCTCTTTCGACTGTTCCGTGTAGTCTAGATGAGCCCTAAGTGATATTTGTTGCAGGGAATACTTTACACCAGTTCTTCAGCTGTGATATTGACTTCCTTATCCACCTCCAGATGGAATTCAAGATGTCTCTTTTAATCATAAAAGCCATAAATGTCTTGGTATATGGTTACCTGAGTGTCTCTCTTTGACATGCATTTGAGTCCGTTGAGAGACAACCTGTATTCCTGGCTTTTTCTGGGAACTGGATGCAGGGTATTCTTTGTAGATGGCCCTCTATTCTGACTTTTATTTACTCATCTGATCTGCTAGCGCCCAAGTTTGACCATTTAAGATATGATATATGAACTCCCTAGTCTCAGGTTTTTGCTAAGGGCAGTGTAAAATTAGTCGGCCTTTTTTGTTTTGTTTTTTGTTTACAAATATTGTTTTGTCTAGTTGCTTTCCTACAAAACCCCTGATATAAATGATAGTTCTAGATGAGAATTACATTTATTCCAAGCTATGGAACCTGTCAACCTGTGGAACTTCTTGCCAGAGCATGTGGTGTAAGGCTAGGACTTCATCAGGGTTCAAAAAAGGGCTAAATAGATTCATGGAGGTTAGGTCCATCAATGGCTATTAGCCAGGATGGGTAGGGATGGTGTCCCTAGCCTCTGTTTGTCTGGAAGTGGGTGACGGGGGAGGGATCACGTGAGGATTACGTGTTGTGATCCTCCCTCTGGGGCATCTGATATTGGCCAGTGTTGGCAGACAGGATACTGGGCTAGATGGACCTTTGGTCTGACCCAGTATGGCCATTTTTATGTTCAAGCTACCTGACTGCAGTTAGTTGTGTAAACTGATCAGTGACTGGGGTGTATGCATGTGCATGCGTTCACTCTTTAGCTTTATGCATACTGGACATTGAGTACAGTAGATGGAAATGTAGAGGAAACGAGACTGAAGATCAGAGGTGAAACAAATGGATTACAATGAGAACATGAGTAGGAGATTGTGAAGAGGAAGAGAAAGACCTGTAAAGCAGGTGGGAAAATTAATCAAAAGTGGAAAAACCTATCTATTGTGCCTTCTACAAGGAAAACTCTTGACTTCAAATAGTATTAAAAGCCTGTATTGTCACTGACAATATAATTTTAATTAAATATATTAAGAAAAATAATGTGTTGAACACACTTTCTACAGTGATGTGTATGTTTCCGTATTTTTCAGACTCTTAGCGTGCAGTCTTCAACCAATGGTCAGTTTGTATCTCCAAGTGACATTCAGTTGAAATGCAATTATTGCAAAAGTTCTTTTTGTTCAAAGCCAGAAGTTCTGGAGTGGGAGGTAAGTTCTTGGATAATAGTGAAGCAGAAGTAAGGAGTGGTTACATGTGTTTACCAAATAGGTTACTTACAAAAGGGTTTTAAACTTATATTTTGTTTTAAGTGGATACTCCCTGCTGGCCCTGGGCTCCATGTTGCATTTCAATATTTGAAATGCACAAGAGCCCCTGCTGGGGCTTTTGTACATTTCAAAGCGGAAGTGCCACCTAGGGCCAGCAGGGGACTCAGAGTCCCCCACTGGCCCCAGGCTCCATGCGGCGCTTCCGCTTTGAAATGTACAAGAACCACAGTGGGAACTCTTGTACATTTCAAAGTTGGAATGCTGCTGCTGTGCCTGTGCCCCCTCCCATGAAGCTGGAGCTGGGGTTAACTGACTTTTAAGCTGGCTCCCCCCAGAACTCCCTCCTCTTCCCCCACCCTAGCTTCCTCTTTCTGATAGAGGTGGGAAGCAACTAGTTGACTACTGTGTTAACTGTCCGATATGCTTTTGCTTATCAGATAGTCGACTGGTTGATTAGTCGCTTACATCCTTAGGGTACGTCTAGACTACATGCCTGCCGTGCTGAGCCGATCAGCTGTTTGTTGGCTCAGCGCGGTAGTCTAGACGTACCCTTAGCGTGTACCAGTGCTAGAGAACTTAAGAGTACACATTGGGTGGTACATGCTCCTTTTGCCCCTGTTTTTGTTCCTTCTAAAGCTTTTTAAGGGTGGTATCTCCCTGTTCTTTCTGAGTTATTTCTCACCATCCAAGTCCTGAGTTAGAGCATTCCATGTGGTATTTACCTCATATTTTTGTCTGCGTCTTCTCTTTTTTTTATGCAGTTACAGTTAGTAGTAGTAGTAGACCATGGTGTAATGCCTTCACAAAGTTTCAATTGCTGTTCCTCATGTGAAGATAGCCATTTACAGTAGCAGTCCCCATTTTTAGTGCTTATTGTGCCTGGGAGATGGGCATATTAAGAAAAAACACTCCATTTTCGAGTCCTCCATCTGTTTTAGGCAAGCAGTCAACTTAGCTGTTCTAAGAAAGTTAGTATACCAGTCATCAACTTCCTTACCAATTCCCTGCCAGTCAGGGACAGATTATCCCTTTTTAGCAGTGTTTAGGAAATAACCACAGTGGTATGTATTCTAAGCATGATAGAATTGGTTGTTTCTTCAAGTTCTTGCTCACGTCCACTCCATATTAGGGGTATGTGCTCGCCACATGCACTGGTGCTGGAAATTTTTTCCTCTGTAGAATCCATAGGGGACCAGCTCTGTTGCTAATGAAAGCTGTTAGAGGACAGTCTCTTATTCCTCACAAGGGGAACGGCAGCACTGTGGGGTGAGTCAAGGCCCATGCTGGGGTCCTCTCATCCAGTTCTCCCGGATGACGCCAAGGTGTGCTGGGAACTGTTGAAGAGGGTTATTTCGTCTTGGCTTGCAGGCAGAGGAGTTTGAACAGCAATCAGACTCCCTGTTTGATGTCCTTTCCTCTGCAGCCACTGCTAGGGTGGCCTAACTCCTTCATGAAAGAGTATTAAAGATTATGACTGTCCTGTGGCAGATGTCCTTCTCTTTACCCCTCCCCACTGTTTCCAAAAGGGAAGAGCATGCTTTGTCCCGAAGGGGCATGAGTACTTGTACACCACCTCAGCTCCTGTGCCCAATTCCCTGCTGGTTGAAGAGATTAACCACTAGGAGCGTCAGGAGCAATCTGGGGCTTCCCTCAAAGAACAAAGACTTGAGGAAGCTCGATCTTTTTGTATGCAAAATGTATTCATCTTTTTAGTCTGGAATTGAGAGTGGCCAACCACCAGGCCCTCCTTGGCTCCTACCACTTTAATATGTGGTAAACTATAATCAAATTTGAGAGCTCTCTCCCAGAAGGCTTTCAGAATCCCTGATAAGGGTGTGGCCACAGCCAGGGTGGTCCTTCAAGTGGTGTCTGATGCAGCAAACTCTGCTGCCCATACCATTGCATCTGCCAGCTCCATGTGGTGAGCTTCCTGCCAGTTCCTCTCTGATTTGTCCTTTGAGGTAAACTGGCTCCCCTTGTGGACTGACTCCTGCCTGCCAGTCATGCTGCTGCCTCTGATATAGAGGCAGCAATGTGGGATGGCAGGGGGCTCCACAGATGTGGAGCCGGAAGTTCACTGGCTGCTAGCCCCACCCCTGGGGGCTATCGAATAGTTGTGTAACTGCTAAGTTTTGATGTGGTTATACGATTATTAAATTATCGATATCCCTAGTTACAGTTTGTAACATTCTCATATCGGACATTTGCTGTGGTGCTGTCTTGTCTTCTGTACTTCCTTTTACCAAACACTACACAGTTAAGACCACATTTATATCAAATGTAAACTTTGCAAGGGCAGTTTTAGTTTCCTATTAAGTGGTTCTGAGCCCCGCCTACTTCCATTACTGCCTGTGAGTTGTCTTGGTGGGCTATGTCTGTAACCACTCAAAGAAAATGTGGTTATCTACCTGCTCTGTAGCTGCTTCTGTTCAAGATGTGGGTGTAGATGTGCATTTTATGATCCATACCCTGCCCTCTATACTGAGGTTTCCAGTCTTGAATTCTGGTGTGGAGGAATTGAATTGTCAGAGTGTGCCAACTTTAAATAGCCCTGAGAGGGCTTTGAGGAGCCATAAGTCATGTGTTCAGCCCCAGTGGGTACTTCTAAACAAATTGCTTCTACATGCTCGTGCACGCACATAAGTGGGGTGCACAACTGTATCCACATCTCGAAGATAAACAGTTATTGTACAGTTAGGTCACTGTTTTCTTTGTCTCCCATTGAACTGCTCTGCTTTAGAGATTGTATTGGATCTTAGAGAGTTTTGCAACTTGTCTGTATATTGATAAAGAAAATAGCTAAAGGAAATACGCTGTTTTTAAAGGTTCACCGATATGTATTCTTTCCGGGCCACTTTCTCCATGTGAAATACTTAATGACAAATAACTTCTGTTGCATTATGTCATTTTATCAAAAGCTATTACAGTAAAACTCTAATTGTCCAGCATCCAGTGGTCCGGCACTCTTGATAGTCCGGCACCACCTGGAACCCGGAAGTGCTCCAGGCAGCTGGACAATTGGAGCTGCTCTGCCCCGGGCTTCCCCGAGTCAGCCGCTGGTCAGTTTCAGCAGCGGCTGACTTGGGGACGCCTGGGGCAGTGCAGCTGGGGTGCTACCGGATTGGTCCTGTAGCGCCACACCTCGGCGCTGTGGGACCAACCCGGCAGCACCTCAGCTGCTCTGCCCCAGGCATGCCCAAGT